ATTGTGCCCATCTTTGCATGAAATGTTCCTTTGGTATCTCTTAATTTTCTTGACTCGATCTCTGGTCTTTCCCATTCTATTGTTTTCCTCTGTTTCTTTGCATTGATCACTGAGGAAGGCTTTCTTATCTCTCCTTGCTATTCTTTGGAACTCTGCATTCAGATGGGTATATCTTTCCCTTTCTCCTTTGCCTTTTGCTTCTCTTCTTTTCTCAACTACTTATAAGGCCTCCTCAGACAGCCATTTTGCCTTTTTGCATTTCTTTTTCTTGGCGATAGTTTTGATCATCACCTCCTGTACAATGTCCCAAACCTACATCCATAGTTCTTCCTTGGGTTATCCAAATCCTTGACATGGATAATCCTTATAAACCACACTATAAGTGAGCTGACTTCAGTTGTTCAAAAATAAATATTGAGTGTGTACCAGACACTGGGTTACATGCTTGGGAAACAGGAAAGTGCTGTCTCTGACCTCATGGGATTTTCCAATAATAGCAGTTAAAACAGGAATTATGTGAAATCTATTTAGGCTACGGCAGAGAAATACAGAATGTTCTCAGGGTATATACAGAAACATCTAGGCTAGATGAAGTGACATTATCCTAAGAGTAATGGAAAGCTAAAGCAGAGATTTATAATTAAGATGTATTTGTGGATGTTATTTATAAAATTGATTGCATATGGGCAAATCTGAAGAAACATAAGATATTTAGGCTTTATTATTCAGAAAAATGATGACAGTGGTTATGAATAGCATAAAAAATTTGAGAGAGAATTTGCCAAACTGATATTATGATAGATAAGGGAATGAGAAAAAAATAAAATTAAAGGCAACTGTTACAAAGCTTTATATTTAATTTTTGGAATCATCTAGAAATGAATTCTAGAAAATGATCTAAGTTAAGAGGTTAGATAGATGTAGGTGACATGACTTTATACATTTATGCATAAAAAATTGGGGGTTTAAATATTTTCCCCTCAGAAGAAAATCACTAAATTTTCTGTAAGCCAGAAATGAACTTCTAACTTACTTAACATTCAGTGCAAGCACGTGAATCTTATTAGCATAGTAATTATGATTTTAAAATTTTATGTCTTTGGCAGGAAAGGGTGTTTTGGATTCACACCCATGGTATTTAAAGATGATTTCAAAATTCCCAGAAAACAAAGTTTTTGGCGATTAAGAGAACACAGTACATACCTTTAGGGTGGCTATTACCTTTGAGAGTTTCAGACTAATGAGAGATGCTGAGGGTTACAAAGAATAAACTCTCCATTCTCCCTTGAGAACTTCAGCTCGTCCTTACTATTATGCCAATCCAAGTAATCTTAGATTCTCTGTAGTAGTCTTTGTCCTTCAAACTTTTATCTAACAGGATAATTCATCTACTTATTCCATACCTTGTTTCAGCCTTGGTTTACAAGGCCCAGTACAAGTTACAAAGTCCAGTAGCTTTGAAAATAAAACATGCAAAATCAAGGAGATGAAAACTAAGGCAGAAATATGATGAAGTCATATATAAGAATATAAGTATGCATAATAGTCCTGTGCAGTTGTTAAAATTAGACTGGATTTCAGCAGTGAGCCTTATATGGTTGGAAAGACTGAGGGCAGGAGGAGAAGGGGACAACATAGGATGAGATGGTTAGATGGCATCATTGACTTGGTGGACTCCAGGAGTTGGTGATGGACAGGGAGGCCTGGCATGCTGCAGTTCATGGGGTCACAAAGATTCGGACACGACTGAGCGACTGAACTGAACTGAACTTGTATGGTTAATGAAAAGAGGAAAACATGATCTATTACAAGATATTTGTGATATTTTCTGAAAAGTTCCCAGCTTTTACTGAAATACTGAGACCTAACAGAAAATCATTCCCATGGATTAAAAGTATAATGGACTGTGTCCTCAATGATATTTTTCATTTATAACAAATAATGTAATACAGTATACTGTAGTATCACTGCCATAATGCTAAAATTATATTTACTAGTGAATATTCACACTATTCACAGTATTCATTTAACAGCCTGTCTGGAACCATGGATAGTGTTGAGAAAAGCTAAATTTGTGTTTTCCAAAGCATATTCATTAGAATGCTCATTTAATTGTAAGGAATTGCTAGGATAAAAAAATTAAGCAGAATTTTTATAGGTATATTCTTCAGCACTTTTAATATATAATGTTAAAATAATAATAATTAATGTTAAACCATTAAATAATTATTACAATTAAATTAATTAAACTTAATTTCATATAAATAATTAAATAACATTAAGATCCAAGAGGAAGTTTTATGTAGTATGTGTAAACATTTTAAGATGTCGAAACAGTTTTGAGGGGATTGTCTAACCAGACTAATGTTTTGGGGGACTTTGTTTAGAAAATAATTTTCCAGAAGAATAAGAGCATTACAGACTAGTTCTCCATGAACGTAAAGAGGTTTCTTAAAACAAACAGCAGAGAGTTTAATATTGCATCTGTGTTGGTTAGGTGTTTTCTGTTACTGATGGAAGGCAGTTCCACATGCTGGGTAGGGTTGGCATTTCCCAGTGAAATCTAATTCAACCTATCATACATGCCTGAACCATAAATGATAGTTCAAACCTCAAGTGGGCCAATATAGTACCTTCAGACAGGTTCCGATTTTCTTCACTTGTTCATAGGGTCCTGTAGTTTGATTGCTTATCAGAGAGTGACAACAGTGAACACACTTTAAAGTGATGACGTGTGTGTGCAGGCTGCGTCGCCCAGCTGGCCTGACTCTTTGTGACTCCATGGACTGCAGCTTCCCAGGCACCTCTGTCCATAGAGTTATCCAGGCCAGAATACTGGAATGGGTTGCCTTTTCCTACTCTCGGGGATCTTTCCGACCCAGGGATCGAATGACCCCAGTCATCTGTTGTACTCATTAGAAAATAAAATCTACTTGGGTACTATCAGCTGACTAGTTTTTAGTAGTGTAACTTTCTATGTGCCTCTTAAGATCGATTTAAAAATATACCTTGGGGAAACTCAGTTTATCTATTATGTATTATAGAATGGTTAGAAATAAGCCAAATATTGGAAGACCTCTACTAAAACAATTCGGTTTTAGAGAAGTTGCTTTTAACCTTTCTGAAAGAAAATGCTTTTCGTAATAGCCAAAATATGGCAACAATGCAAATGCCCACAATGGATGAATGGATAAAAAGGATGTGGGGCTTTCCAGGTGGTGTTAGTGGTAAAGAACCTGCCTGCCAGTGCAGGAGATGCAAGAGACGTGAGTTTGATCCCTGGGTCTGGAAGATCCCCTGGAATAGGAAACGGCAACCCTCTCCAGTACTCTTGCCTGGAAAATTCCATGGACAAAGGAGCCTGGTGGGCTACAGTCCCTGGGGCCACAAAGAGTTGGACCTGACTGGGCGACTGAACACAAGCAGAAATACACAATGGAATATTATTCAGCCACAGGAAATGATCTGGAGAAGGGAATGGCAGCCCACTCCAGTATCCTTGCCTGGAGAATCCCATGGACAGAGGAGCCTGGTGGGCTAAAATAGTCCATGGGGTCACAAAGAGTTGGATACTACTGAGCCACTAACACTACTCCTACAAGAAATGGGGGATATTCTGACATTTGTGACACACAGAGGACCTTGAGCACGTTTGCTAAACAAGGTAAGTCAGACAGAGAAAGAGAAGTACTGCATGATATCCCTTATATATAGAACTGAAAAAAATTAAACCTCTAAAAGCAGGAAAATGGTGGGTACCAGAAGATATCAGAATATGGGAGGTGGGGGATAAGACTCATGGTACAAACTTGTAGCAATTAGTAAATAAGTCGTGGAGATCTAAATAAAGCACAGTATAATGAATATAGTTGTTGTAGTTCAGTCGATCAGTTGTGTCTGACTCTGCAACCCCATGGAGTGCAGCACGCCAGGCTTCCCTGTCCTTCACTATTTCCTGGAATGTATAATGAATATAGACAGTAATATTGTATTATAATTATAAATGTGATAAATGTCACTACAGTGACAACTATGTTACAATATATCAATGTATGAAAGGAATAGACAGTACACGTTACATTTATACAATGTTACCTATCAAATTTATCCAGTTAAAAACAGGAAAAATTAGATTTTTTTTTCTATCGATACTTCAAGGTTTGGCAATAAAATTTTAAGAGCACAGAGGCTGCATTTTAGATAAGAGAACAGTGGTAAATCCTTTCAAAAGGACGGGTATTTTCATTCATTCAGATAGAGTATGACAAAGTTATTTCTACTAATGCATGTTTTTCTAGTCTTAGTTTGCTACATTTAAAAGAATTCTTGTAGATAACAACAAAACCAGATATGCTAAGTTGCCGCCTGTATAAGTTACTAATTATACAACAGAGTCTTGGTTGTTTGTCAGTTATAATCAAATTCATCATGCATAATCTGTGCTAAAATGATAGAACCTGACTAAATAATCTCCTGTAGGTTGGTCTTCTAAAAATTCTAGAATTTCTTTGCTAATGTATTAGCCTTCAAACTTGAATTTTGAGTTACTCTCTTAGTTCAGTTCAGTCGCTCAGTCATGTCTGACTCGTTGTGACCCCATGGACTGCAGCAAGCCAGGCCTCCCTGTCCATCACCAACTCCCAGAGTTTACTCAAATTCATGTCCATCAAGTCGGTGATGCCATCCAACCATCTCATCCTCTGGCATCCCCTTCTCCTCCTGCCTTCAGTCTTTCCCAGTATCAGGGTCTTTTCAAATGAGTCAGTTTTTCACATCAGGTTGCCATTAGTTCTACTTGTATCTAATTTGTTTCATTTATTTACCTTGTGCATTTTCTACATAAATAGGATAATTGTATTTTAGTATCGAGTCTAAATATTCATGTATTTTTAAAAGCTGTGCATTAATATTCAGATAAAAAACAATTTGGAAGATACATGAAATATGTTTTTATTTTCTGGCAGTGGACTGAGACATAAACTGAATAAAATGACCCCAATTACGACATGACATTCAGTTTTCATTGTAAAGCAAACCTAGATTGCATCAGAAAATTGGGAAAACTTTGGGAACTGTTTCAGAAGGGAAGTGTAACCTTTATTTTAAGGGAGGGGGAGATGAGTTGGAGGGGGAAAGCTCATATAAACATGAAAAGATTGATGGCTTCTGTTGTGATCCCTGAGAACATTTGAACTGAAAGAAACAGCTTACTAGATTGGATAGTTTTCAGTTGTTTTTCTTTTCAACCTCTCTTCTTATTTATTTTACAGTGGATGGAATTGAGGTTCAACACTCTGGCAAAATGCCCACACTGCAAAAAAATGTAAGTTCTGTACCACTGGAAATACTACTGGGAAATACTTGAGAACAATTTAAACAGTTCAAAATTTTCACTGACGTCAATTTCTATTTTAAGATATAGTTCAGAATGTATGCATGATTAACATGTTTATGCTTTTCAAAACTAAAAAAAAATGACATCTTTGAACTGATTAATATATTCCATTTTGCAATTAAAATGGTTGGATTTAACCTATTGTCTAAAGGTAAATCAGTTTCTAAGAAGGTGGAAATTACAAAAACTAACTGTAACCTAGTAAGAATTTTCAAATGTTCTAATTGGTTATAATTTATTTTAAATAATCTAAAATTTGTATTTTCAAAGTGGGCTGTAATCTAGAAGAAAGCTAGATTTCGGGGGGTTAATAATTAGGTAGTTGGATGGCAACGTTTTTATGATTATTTATCTCTCTTAACTGTTCAGTTTCTCTGTGTTCCTAAATGGTGTACCTAGGAGAAATAACAAAAGGCAATGTAAAAATGGGAAAAAGTAGAAGATATTTGGATTAAAAACATTTTACGCCATCTGTGTTGAGAGTCCCCAAGTCACCCTAAGAGTTTTTGACATTTTAGGAGAACTAGTAGGAATTAGTATACAGTTGTACTCACAGCTTTATGGTGAACGTATGCAAAGCAAAATCAGTGAAAGAGAAAAGGCACATGCGGCAAAGTCTGGAGGGAACCAAGAGCAAGCTTTCAGGAGTCCTCTCCCCGTGGAGTCACATAGGACTTATTCCTCCATCAGTAAACTGTTACAAAACACGTGAAATGTTTTGGGGGGCTTCCCCTTGGCTCAGCAGTAAAGAATCTGCCTGCAATGCAGGAAATGTGGGTTGTATATCCCTGGGTCGGGAAGATCCCCTGAGAAGGAAATGGTAACCCACTCCAGTATTCTTGCCTGGAAAATTCCATGGACAGAAGAGCCTGGTGGGCTGTATACAGTCCATGAGGTCTTTTAGAGTTGGGCACGATTGAGCATACATGCATGTGAAGTGTTTTTGACCAGAGCTTATTAGAGACTCAGTGTCCAAGGTATAATTGGAGCTGGTCACATAGGCCCCTGTTGCATAGCACATACCACAATTCCATACTCCCAGAAGGAAAACAGGTATTCGACATAAGCCATAGTTTACTTTCTACAAGCAGTTTAGGCCTAGCAAACCACTCATCAGAAAGGGAATAGTTAGAACTTTTTTGAAATCTAAGTTCCCAGGAGTCAGCCAGCTTGTCTAAGGATAGCAATCTTTGGCCAGCTGTATTAACTGTTTTCTACACAACAAAATTTTATTTTGATAATAAAATTTCAATTAAAAAATTACTGTTTTCCACTTACATGTGTGGAAAGTAAGCAAAGGAAATTAAACTGGAATGTTTTGGTAATTCAATATTTAAAATGAAAAATATGAACTCATAGTTAAATTTTAGTGATCCTTTGAATGAAGTAAATACTGTATCTATTTTGAGAGTAAGGTAATTCTAAGAATGGTTTATAGGAGGAAAGAATTTAAAAATGTCTGAGAAGTAGAACATATGTAACGAGATATCTCCTTTTATTTGTGCTTGCTATGATTCCAGCTAAATATAATCCTATGAGAATAACTTCTTTACAGCATATTTCTAGCTTCAAAGGAACAGATATTTCATTTTTTATTTATTTGTGAAATTAATCATCTGAATGTGTAACTTAGCTGAATCTAGGACAAGTCTGCACATGGTGAAGCAAAGTGGATAACCCCAGATAAGTGCACAGAAAATGGATATTTCAGGGACATACCAAACACACATGTGTGTGAATACGTGTGTGAATAATCCATATTTCTGTATGTTACCTATATTTTCCCTAAAATGAAGACAATTAAATTGCATCGTCACCAGAAGGATTAAATTGGATTAAAAAAAATCTTTTAGAAGATAAAAAACGGAGACGTCTGGTGATTAGCAGATTGTGTGCTAACCATGGTGATCGTTCCTTTGTATGCACATATATTAGCTGTAATCTTTACAAGTCCTGGGTAGCAGGAATTATTATCCTCATTTTATAAATGAGGAGCTGTTAAAAAGGATGATGATTTTGCTCAAGTGATTTGTTTGGTTGGTTTATTATTTAGAACAATAGCAATATTTTGCTAATAAGAAAGAAGTATTGAATGCTTAGATACTCTACCACAAGACTGTGTTTTAGTGTAAGAAGAATTTGTATCTCTTTCTTAAGAAACAATTTGCCTAGAAATTCACTTGAAATAAATCAGCTTAAATGTCATTCTTAGAGGAATGTGTATAGAATTGGAATCACATGCTGAACACGAAAGGACATTCATTACTTATTTGAGGAAAGATCATGTTATCACATGAACACTCATGGGTCATGTCTAGATTTCTTTTCTCTTTGAATGTTTTTCTTAACAAAATGATGAGTCATCTATTGAAGTAAGATTCTGAGATTTTTATTTTTTAAACTCAAGTAGCAAATATCCTAAAATTATTTTTTGTTATAGAAATTACTAAATCATTGCTATAGAACTAGCATTATTTTTATATCTCACAAAACAAGTAGGGGAAATACCTTCCCCCAGGGCTCCAGAGACCGTAAAACATTTTTGAATCTCATTGTTTCTTATTCATGCGATCACTGAGGCTATTACAGCTAATGGTGAGGTTTCTCTTTCGATTAGGCAACTTGTGACTAATGCTGGACAGGAGTTGTAGTCCTAGCATTCTGAAATGACAGCCTGGACCATTTTTCCATGAAAATGTTTTAATGGGTTTACAATTAGTGACATGATGACTTAATCCATGATAATTATCAATGAATATCTTTCCTTCTACATCACTGAGGTACTTTTATGGGAATCTCTTTCTGCCATTTTAAACAAGAGCAATTTAAAACTTCTTATTCTCATAAGCTGGGGCTTCCCTGGTGCCTCAGTAGTAAAGAATCTGCCTGCTAGTGCAGGAGACATGGGTTCGATCCCTGATCAGAGATACCCCCTGGAGAAGGAATGGCAACTCACTTCAGTGTTCTTGCCTGGGAAATCCCAGGGATGAAGGAGCCTGGCAGGCTACAATCTGCAGGGCTGCAAAGGACTTAAAGACCTCCTAGCAACTGAACAACAACAAATTCTCATAAATTAGCGCTTTCTTTACAATTATTCATTAATTCAACAGTCCTGTGCTGGGTACTGCTGCTGCTGCTGCTGTGTCCGACTCTGTGCGACCCCATAGACGGCAGCCCACCAGGCTCCGCCGTCCCTGGGATTCTCCAGGCAAGAACACTGGAGTGGGCTGCCATTGCCTTCTCCGGTGCTGGGTACTAGCTGCTCAAAATAAAGATATCACCTTGCCTTCAAGAGTCTTTGTCTTGTGGGTGTGTGGAAGAGAACAGACAATTACAATAAAGTTGTATGATAAAGTGCTTTGGAAGGTTTTCTGCTCTGAAGCAATCCTAATCCAGACTGGAGGGAAAGGGAATATGAAAGGAAGCTTCCAGGAAAGAGGAATATTAAAGGTGACTGGTGATGCAGTATACTTAAAGTGAAGAAAGGGAAGAATCTACAACCCAGAATACTCTACCCAGCAAGACTCTAGTTCAGATTTGACAGAGAAGACAAAAGCTTTCTAGACAAGCAAAAGTTAAGAGAATTCAGCCCTTTAAACCAGCTTTATAACAAATGCTAAAGCAACTTTTCTCAGCAGGAAACACAAGAGAAGGAAAAGACCTACAAAAAATAAAGCCAAAACAATTAAGAAAATTGCATCATATATATTGATAATTACCTTAATGTAAATGGATTAAATGCACTAACCAAGGGCTTCCGCAGTGGCTCAGTGAAAAAGAATCCACCTGCGATGCAGAAGCCGTGAGACACCGGTTCGATCCCTGGGCTGGGAAGATCCCCTGGAGGAGAGCATGAACCCACTCCAGTATTCTTGCCTGGAGACTCTCCATGGACAGAGGATCCTGGCGGGCTACAGTCCATTGGTTACAAAGAGTTGGACATAACTGAAGCAACTTAGCATGCACGCACTAACCAAAAGACATAGACTGGCTGGGTAGATGAAAACATGTACATGTATGCACTTCCACTTACCACATCACTCTACTTACCCCCCCAAATTGTATTTAAATATTTAAAATTTTTATTTAATTGGAGGACAATTACTTTACCATATTGTGGTGTTTGTTGCCATACTTCATCATGAGTCAGCCACAGGTATACACGTGCCCCTCACCCTGAACCCTGCGCACAGCCCCCTCCCCACCCCATCCCTCTGGGTGGTCCCAGAGCACCGGGTTGGGTGCCCTGCTTCATGCATCAAACTCGCACTGGCCATCTGTTTTACACATGGTAATGTACATGTTTCAGTGCTGTTGGATTAATCATGTTTCCATTACGGCTTGCAATTGTAATTATCTTTTATTTTTTCTTTGGCTATTGATTGTGAAAATGGATGAATATCTCTTACGATAGTGATTATGTAACTATTATTCATTTTAATATGTTGAATTAAATAATAGAATTATATATCACTATATATGTATCTAATTATATATCAGAATTATATATCATAACTACCATTTTATACAAAAACCTATAATCACTCTTTAAAATCCAGATGTACATTAGAATTATTTGGAATTTTCTAAGAAATACAAATGCCCAGGTACTGTTACTTTCTCAAAAGTTCCAGATGTGATTATAATGAACAAATTAGCAGTTTATTGAGTGCAGCACTTTAACAGCATCATCTTTTAGGATTTGAAATAGCTCCACTGGTATTTCATCTCCTCCACTAGCTTTGTTCGTGGTGATGCTTCTGAAGGCCCCCTTGACTTCACACTCCAGGATGTCTGGCTTTAGCTGAGTGATCACACTATCGTGGTTATCCGGGTCATTAAGACCTTTTTTGTACAGTTTTTCCANACAACCATCTTGCCTTGTTGCATTTCTTTTTCTTGGGGATGGTCTTGATTCCTGCCTCCTG